GAGGGCAGGGACTGGGGCTGCCATGGAGGAGTGGAGGCCAGCAAAGTGGGGAAATGTGGCCAGTCATTGTTTTCTTGACCATTTTTCCTTTTGAATTTAAATGAAACCAGAAATTCTTATATGATTTCCATATTCCCTGGTATGCCTGGGAGTATAATCCTCACTGGTCTGTAACAGCGCATGGCAGATCAAAAACGGAGCTGAGTACTGATTATTATTTGGGTGACAGCCGTGCCACGGAGCCCCACTGCTGGCACGGTGCCCCGCCGAGCCGAGCGCCGAGCCGCAGCATGGAGAGGGGGTACCAGCCCCCCAGGCCGGGCTGCCAAAACCTTCTGCCCTTCTGGGGAAAGGCAGGACAGCATTTGGGCAGTGCAACACTCTTTGCTCTGCAAATTACCTGGCGTCAACATCCAAAAATGTGTCCTGAATCCATGGATTTGCGTGGTTCCCGTCGGATCTGAGAACCTCCCTGTCTTGTGTTTGCATTTACAAGACCCTGCCCACATAGAGCAGGGTGGTTACTGCCAGTTGCCAAGCTGGGGAGCAGGGGCAGGGCGGGTGCAGGGGACGTTTGTGGCAGAGCAGAGACCGCACCAGCACTCCCAGCTCCCGGGATCTCCCCAGGGCCAGCCCTGACTCTGCGGGAGGCACCGCTGAGGTCCCCGTCACTGCCGTCTGCTCTTCCCTCCCGCAGATCCCCGAAGGGGCGTCGCTGGCCATGAGTTTGTCAGACAAGAAGGACACGACGTTGAGCAGAGGTAGTGTCTCATTTCTCTTCCCCTGCTGCTGGTGAGCAGGCAGACACTGGTGTTTTCAGAGGGGGGTCTCTGGCCAGGGGTGCCGAAAGGCAGCTGCCAGCCCCCTTGCCTGGACGGTGGGCTGTGGTGTCAGCCCACGCAGGGCTGGCTCCAGCGTTTGTCGAGAGCCCGCTGTAGTGGCGTGTTGGGCAGAGCTGGGCATCAGCCAGGCTGCCAGGGGAGATGGTGAGCATGGTCTGGGACTGCCACAGCCGAGTGAGCTGGCCAGCCAGCAGCCCGGGCCATGCTCAGGAAGCCTCCAAGTGCAGCAGGGTCCCCGCCATGCCACAGCAAACGCCCTTCGCCCACACTGTGGTGGACGTTCGGGGCACTGTGCTGGTCCTGCTCTTGCACCTTCTTGGGTCCCCCTTGAAACACCCCATGGGAGACCTCAAGTCCTCCCTAAAGTCCTTCCTGAGGTACTCACCACGCACCCCAGAAGGTGATAAACAGCACCAGCACAGAACCGCTGAGGTTGCTCGGGGTGGGAGTGCCAGCTCGGTGTTGGGGTTCTTGGGGGAGGCAGAGGACATGTGCGGAGGTGGGGTTCAGTTTGACTCCCCCGACTAAGCCCCTGTATCTCTCTTGTGCTTCACAGTGAAGGATCTGGACACCGAAAAGTACTTCCACTTGGTGAGTACCTGGCTCCCAGCCACGGAGGGGTGCGCGTCTGACCTCCTGCGCGTCTCGGCATGCCCCACCTTCATGATGGCCACCCACGAGCAGACAGCGGAAGCTGTTGCTTTCGTCCCTGCTGGCGGGTGTGAGCAGGCTCTTTGGCAGCAGCAATCCCTGCCGTACTGGGGCCCACGGGCCCGGGGCTGTGGGAAGCCCTCAGCAAGGCGGGGGTCAGGCTGGCTGTCGGGGCGTCCCCCCCGGGAGGCAGCAGCCCAGAGAGCGCGGGGAGCAGAGGGGTGCCCAGGCTGCGTGCACGCGGCGATCCCTCCTCTCCCCTGCGCTGAAGTCTCTGGGTCCTGTTTTTTCAGCGTATGTGATGAAAGAGGAGAAAATCTTCTCAGCCTCGCTGATACGAACTTAATTCATCTGTGTGGGCTGGAATGTCAGATGTGATGTACAAGCTGGATCAGGGCTCGTTAGTTTTCTTCAGAGAGGCTCAAAGAGGTGCAGAAAGGTTATCTGTAGACAAGCTTTAGTACTATGGGACATAATAAAAAATTGCCAGGATGGCAAAGTGATCGTTGTGCCTGATCTAGTCGCCAGCAGCCACGGAGAGCTCCGGAGCGCAGCGCTGCCGGCAGCACCCACGCAGCCGTGGTCAAGTCACCCACCGGGAGCTCCTGGCATGCCGCCTGCTTCCCAGGGCCAGCGAGATTTATTAGTTCCTGCCTGTGCGCCACGCTGGAAGTACAAAGTGCTAAACGTTGCTAAAAGCTGTTGTGACAAAAAGTGTTATGGACAGCAACAATACTTTACAGCCTGATTTTTTTTTTTCTCAGCTGAAGTTTCCGTGCTCCAGTAGAGTACAAATGCACAATGTGTGCACGCGTGTGTGCGCATGCACACGTACACACAGAGCAAGGAGGGAGCAGGGATGGGAAACTGAATGTGCACATGTGAAACAATGCCAAGATGGACTTAAAAGGCTTGCTAGGTCATTATAGAGCAGTAATTAACTGACCTGACCAGTGGAACATTTATTTTTGTTTTTAAAAAGGCCAGGGTAGGAATACTGGCTGATCGTTCTTGCACTTTTTCCAAATCTAAGAAAAGCTGGTTCCTGTGGAAGCCTTGTGCGTTGCTTCTGGGAGCCCAAACTGCAGCCGCACAGGAGTACGCGCAGAGATCAGGAAGGCGAGCAGACCAGCAGTGTGCCCAGGTGGCCAAGAAGGCCAACGGCATCCTGGCTTGTATCAGGAATAGTGTGGCCAGCAGGAGTAGGGAGGGGATTGTGCCCCTGTGCTCGGCACTGGTGATGCTGCACCTCCAGTACCGTGTTCAGTTCTGGGCCCCTCACTACGAGAAGGACATTGAGTTGCTAGAGTGTGTCCAGAGAAGAGCAACGAGGCTGATGAAGGGTCTAGAGAACATGCAAAGTGAGATTGATTGTTTCATTTTCTCTGTCTAGCTTGAGAGAGGCAATAAAGAGCGCAAGAGGAACAAATGTCAGAAAAACTGAGTATTATGAGTCACTTTTTTAAAGCCATATAAGGGTGTATTTATAACACAGTATCTGCTTTTTAATTGAATTTTATATGCAGTTGAAATTCTATACTAAACTGAAAATTCAATGTGACGCATCCAGAGAGGAGTGCTCTGAACATGTGTTTTGTGTCGGACCAGGTTCTCCCAACTGATGAGTCAGTGGAACATAAGAAGTCCCACAGACAGAGCCATAGGAAAAAGGTCCTACCGGAGATCTACCTGACCCGGCTGCTCTCCACGAAGGTAGGGCACGGGCCGCCCTCGTTCGCGGCGGGTGGGATTGCTGGTTGTGGTCTGCAGCGAGAAGCTGGCCCCCGGGAGGTCACGCCGCGGGGCCAGCGGCTCTCGGGCAGCGGTGGGGCTCGCTGGCGCGTGTCTGGGGAGGCTGCCGGGCACCGCTGGCTCCTTGGCTTCCCTCTGGCTTTCCAGCTCGCCCTCGGAGCAGCGGCGCTGTGGAGCGTCACACGTAGTGTCCCCAGGCTGGTCTGGGGTCTGTGCACGTGGAAGGGATGCTGGCTGCCTCAGGGCTCGTGATGCTCAGTTCGGACCTGAGCCCGTCTGCCCAGCGAGAGTGCCTGCGGGGAAGGGAGATGGAGATGCTCAGCTCTGGGAGCAGGGGAATGTCTGTGCAACCTTAATTCAGATTTGAACTTCCCCACTCTCTGCGAGTGCTCAGCTCCAGCAGTTGGGCTCCCAGCCCATCTTTAATCCCAGCATGATGCCTCACTGGAGCAGAGATCACAAGAACGGCCATCAGTCTCCAGTCTTCTTTGTATTTACTGTGCAGAACAATCACAGATGTGAGATCCTAGCAGTAAGAAAGAAAATCTTGATGCCAAAAGAAATTAAATCCAAATGCAAGCTATTTATATCGCTATGCACAAACAAACCTTTCCCTCCCTGCTTCAAAAAACTTTCCCTTCTGATTTATCCAACTGGCAGCAAAGGATTTCCCCTTGTGCGCAGCAGTCACAGCCCCTCATGCTGTTTCCCCGGGCTCGGGTGCTGCTGCTTTCCCAGTCTCCATCGTGTGCGCTTGTCCCACAGGGCACACTGCAGAAGTTCCTGGACGACTTATTCAAAGCCATTCTCAGTATCCGAGACGATAAACCACCTGTGGCCGTGAAGTATTTTTTTGACTTCCTAGAGGAGCAAGCAGAGAAAAGAGGGATCACAGACCCTGACACTATGCACATCTGGAAGACCAACAGGTTTGGAAGAGGAAATTTCTTTCTTTCCTTCCTTCCATATTTCAGGAGCAGCAACTGCAAAGCCTTGGTGTCCTGGACTAATCACTACGTTGCTAAAAGTAGAAGAGGGACTTGGAAAACAGGAGGGGTGGTGAGGGGGCGGTAAAAGATGAGGCCAGACACAGGCTTGGAGAGCTTTGAACAAACAGAGCTCAGGGGAGCGGTGAGCTGGAAGAGGAGGCATGGGCAGATAAAGGGCAGGACGAACTGGTGCAGTAATACAAATAATTAAAGGAGAAGCGTAAGAGGGACGGGACGATGGGAGCCAGCAATGGTTTTAGCTCAAACCACTGGAGAACTGAGACAGAGTCCAAAATCATGTCATGTCTTAAAACATCATGGAGATTTTAAAACCAGCATATTTGGCTCCTTTTCGTTTGCTTTCTGGCCTTTTAGCCCTTGGGGGCACTTTTCCCGACTTATCTCTGTAACCAGGCTGAGACTCCAGGGTATTCACAGGACTCCGGGAGCTGGTGCTGAGACAGCAGCGTGCCAGCAGGCACTGCAGCTCTGGGGAGCGGCCGTGAGGGGTGCTGAGGGACCGGATGG